GTATACATACACGGTTTCACGCACTAACTTGAACCTGAATTAAGCGCTTTGCCATTATGTTTGGAAAAAGGCTATGGGCTACAGTGGAAAAGATCAAGCAATTCCCAATTGGAGAAGATCATCGAAAGAATTGAGTTTTGCGAAAATGTTTTGCGATTAAATTCCGTTTATAATGTAACAATCACTCGCTTCTAATACTATTACTAAATTAGAAAAATAATAATGTGATGCGCATTAAGAACCCTGAATCTCACCTTTCGAACACAATCGAAGAGTGGATATGTTTGATGTGGATGGGAGGAGCAGAGGCAAGAAGGAATTGATTATAGTTGAGTTTGAAATCGCTGAAAATTCGATTTTGAAGATTTATTTTACACGAATTCCTGTATGCAGCCGAGCTAAAGAAGCAAACACACATCGAGTTAACCTCCAATGAGGATCATGGGACGATTGGGCATATGTTGCAGATTTTCCATCCCTATAATCTGAATACATCTCTCACTCCATATAGATTAATCATCCTTAGATGGACTATTTGACAAAAATTCGTTCTGCTTACCCGCATGTTGTTTCTTTTTGCGCCACACCGCCTTCTGTATCACTTCGGAAATCTCCTTCTCCGAAGCACCGCTTCGCAGAAGTTCTCGCATACTCACTTCTGCATTGCCATGGAGACAAACCTCAACAATGTTCAAATAAGAATAGGATTTTTTTCGCTGACGACTCAACACAAAATCATATTTTCTATGTCCATTATAATATTATCAACTCCAAGCTAACGAAACAGATACAAGTGTTCAGGCTTGCTACCGTAACACCAACCTTCAGATTTCCATCGGCGGTTATGCGCAAACGATTACATGTCGCACAGAAATGCTCGCTCATTGATGTGATGAATCCAAACTGCCCTGTAGATCCTAACACTTTGTAGGCCTGAAAGTTCGGTATTCATTCGACAAAAAAAGCTCTTCACAAATTCTGTATTAACTTTTTATGGCGACTGATCTGCTACTCAAATGGGGAAATTTTATTGTAGTTCTTCGACATTACAAAAATCTTGTCTGGACGTGAAAGGGTGAGCCTTGATTTTTCAAAAACAATATAGGTTTAAGTGGGAAAGTGTACAAGCATGTATGTTTTATATTTGCCGTTTAGTTATTGTGGAATGACTTTTGACAAAGGAATGATGCAGAAACACAAAAAACGTGATCTTTCTTT